GTAGCTGCAGCTGAACAGTCATGGACGCGCTCAGCAGGATCATTAACCAAGACAGGATCGGTTCACGCTCCACCCGCGGCCGGACAGTGGCCGATGGGGTGAGCTCCCTCGCACTTGGCACACACGTGGGCCCTGTTGCAATTGGGATGCGTGCATCCCTCCAGATTGTACGCGAAGCAGATGCGCTGCCCCTGCTTCGTCATTGGCTTGGCTCCTTTCTGTCGCAAAACCAAGGGCATAGGAATGCTGCTGGCATCCTGGGCGCCCTTACCCTTCCCCGTTTTGCCCTTGCCTGGCTGTTTGCCCTTGCCTGCGCCTTTACCCCCTTTGGAGCCCTCATGATTACGCCACTTATTTGCATTGTCAACGTTGGCTGTATTCTTTCGCTTGAGGCCCGCCGGCAGGGGGACAAGCAAGGAGGACACCGCGTAGGATTCAAGAGCGACATGAAGTGCACGGTCCATGTCACAGGTTCCATCCGGGTTGGCACGGGGTCTTTTGTTTTCCTCAAGCATATGCACCCAAACGGCCTTGTCTGCCTGAATCAACTGCTCGATGCCGACGCGCTGGTGGTTCGCTGGGGCCGGTCTGCGAAAGTGCATCATAAGCTTAGCCAGGTAGCTTTCATACGCACTGAGGCTGACGCAATGTGCCATGACATAAGCATACCCTCTGCGTTTAAACCCCTCAAGCAATGCCAACGCACCGTGAACTGGTTGATCCGTTGTTTCTGCATGCTCACGCACTGCGATCTTCCCCGCCTCCACTTCAAGAACTTTCGACGGCTTATGGTGATTCAACAGCTCATGCTGGCGGGAAACACACTTCTCAATCGGAATGTGCTTGAAAACATTTTCGCGGTGTTGCTCACAAGTCAAGTCTAGCAATGAATGCCCAGGCTCCATTGTTGAGTCGATGTGCAACCCAGGGTTAGCAGCCTTAAACATGGTCAAGCGTTGGGACTTTTCAGCCTCGGGTAACTTCTGTTTAGTGGTGTTGTCTGGATCCAGGATTGACTGACGAAGTGCACTGAGCTGAAGGGTTTGCGACTCGAACAACACGCGCTTGAATGCAGCAACATCACCCAAGGACAGCCCAGGGAGATTCGACTCAAGCCACTCCTTCAAGACCTCTTCGGACAGGTCTTGACCGGGAGTCCCTATAAGATGCGCTGTGGTCCCCAGCGTTCTAACCCCCAGACCCTCTAACTTGCCCACGGTTGGCTGACTCAAGTTGATCTCCTTGCATCGTCGTTGAAAGTGAGCCTCAGAATCAAGGATGGCAGTCATTGCGAAATGCACGTCGGACGAGAGACTTAAGCTAAAGTGTTCCTAGTTTGCACCACATGTTTTCTGTTGTCTTGTTGTGACCAAGTCGCATGACGCTCAACATGTCAAGACTCTCAGCCGGGACTGCGCGGGTGGTTCAGCAATGATGCTCACATGCACTCCTAGGCTGCGCACACAGACACTGCAAACCCTCAGCGAATACTGCGCACTCCGTCCGATTTCACGGCACAAGTACCGTGAGCTGCTCAACTTTTGTGCCCTCGCACGAGTCGCCTTGGACAAGCCTCTAAAGGCCGGCAGCTACCCGTCTACAGTTGTGACATGTGCCACTGACCTGCCGCCCAAAACTTTTTGGGACGACATAATTCGATGTCCCAACTTTACCACATGCCAAAATGGCGTTTCCTCCCCCAGACCGTGCAATCACGTAATGACATTTCTTGGACTTCACATGTACAAGTGAGTCTTTCAAGCCCCACGGCCAGTCCTGCTTTTGGACCTTTTGAGCGGGCTGCTCATCTTCAGACGATGTTCCTGAGCTCTCAGCACTCTCGCTGTTGGATGAGGAGCTGGAATCCGAACTGATGTCCACAATCTCGCCCTGGCTCGGTACCTCATCACAAGCGTCTGGCTCCGACTTAACCGCATCCTCAGACAGCTGGGGAAGTGCAGTGAAATACTCAGCACGTGAGTTGTCTGGTTTGAAGCGTCCTGAAGAGATGTCTCGAAGGACCTGCTCGAACTCCTTCACTGCCGATGTGGCTAAGTCGACGGCATAAATCGCCTGCGATCCGGCTGTGGCCGATGCATGTCTGCCTAACACTGACCTCACTGGCTCGCTTACACCGTGCTTCGAACACCATGAGAGTGGAGTGCGTTTGAGCGAATGTGAGGAGATGCGCTTCAGGCGCTCTTCATCACACACTGGGCCCAATGCGATCCTCAAGAATGACGTAACCTCTGCTGCTCTGATCTCCCGCTTGGCCAGCATTTCACCATCTGCAGATATGGGGGCCTTCAGAAGCGGACCCTCAACTTTGCCTTGGACCTCCATGCCTACTGCGCTGAGAGCGTCGAGAGCCACTGACACCCACTGGGTGCCAGTGACGCCCATTGCTGGGATCAGCACCGGGAGGAGCTTCTTGGATCGTGCCGTGACGCTGTTGGTCTTATGCATCCCGAGATACAAGACAACATACCCTGAAGAATCGTTGAACTCATGCTCAATCCACTGAATGTCCGAAAGGTCGCTGTTCCTACAACGGCCATACAGGGCAAATAGGCATCTGGCCGACATGGCACGATCGAAGCTGTGGGCTCCCCTATCCTCCACCATGGTGTGCAATCGGCGTGTTTCACCCACTGTCAGCTCTTCAGCTTGGCGCAACCATTGAACTCCAACTGACATTTGTTCGGCGATCCCACACACTCGCCGGCTCTGCAAGACGTCGTCCAAGTGGAAACCAAGCACATGATGAAGGAAACGCATCGCACTGAGGACCCCAGCCCCTTTCGAGGCAGCCGCACCCGCCTTTTTGAGGTCGGTCATATACGCCCACAGCGCCGCCTCTGATAAGCAGTCCGAATCTGACGCGGGGCCGTTAAGGTACCATCTGAGAAATGTGTTGAAGGCATTTGCACGCTTGTCTATTGTCCAAGGGGAGCGAGTACCGACGGCAGCCGTCACTGATTCTGGATCGACCTTCCCGCTGCGCAGCAGTGTACAAGGAACTAAGTTCTGGGGCACAAGCCGAAGGCCCGCAACCAACTTACCTAAACTAACCTCCAAGACCTCAGCACGTCTTTCGCGGAAAGACAGGTTCTTAGTGGCTTTGATGGCCACCGCAAAAATTGGCTTACCTTGAAGATACACCTTGGCACTCACAGACACGTAGGTTGTCTCTTGATGGGCTGGCTCCTGGGGCACAAGGAGCTTTTTAGCAATCAAGGGCATCTTAGGTACTGTTGGCAGTGATGGCAGAGATTCGCTGAAAACGGAACGCATAGGGCCGCGCTCCCAAGGAAACTGCAGTTTGCTCAAGGATGGATTCGAGACCAACTCGGACGACACCACGGCAGCCACATCAACGAGCGGTGCTATCTCGGACTCGTGAAGGCTGGCAGCGAAAGTCCTGGTTACAGGAGGTGTGCTCAGGCTTTCATCTGAACCCACCGGTCGCCAAGAGGAGCTGGAGCCGGCAGCGAGCTGCTCCAGGTGTTTATCGAACTCACTCAAAAATCCTTCCTCGGTTTCAGCTACTTCCCTGTAATGCTTCCATTCTGCGGAAGCGTCACATCCTTCTTGCTCTTCCCAAACATCCGGCTCCAAGTCTGGTGAGGGATCCACATTTAGGGGTTCGGGTTGTCTCGAAGTGCTTGCCAGGCCTAAACCACAAGGAAATTGTAGGTCTACACCGCTAGCAACCGCAGGGGGGAGTGGTGGAAAATCGGGTCGGGACTCCGGGGCCTCTCCACTGACCACACCACCGAGCGGTTGTTCGTTCAACGGCACAAGCTGTTCAGAAGGATCTAGAAGATTCTGCACGGATCCGGAGTCACTCATCGGCTCGACTGATAATACAGGTGTAACTGCAACCCCTGGCACACGCTGGTCTGCTGGCAAAGTCGTTAAGATCGCAACCTCTGGCACAAGTTGGTCCGAAGGTAAAACCGCAACCCCCTTATTATCCGAAGTAACGCACAGAATGGCATCAGGCACTGAGTGGGCTGCCGCCGGCGGGCGGCCGGGCGTATCCGAGGGCAGTCCAGCTGGAGGCATGCGCGGGGGCGCACCTGTGGTGGAGTCAGACATGACGATATTGCAGGGCGGGGTCACGCAGGGCAATGCGGTAGAATGACGTGCGGGCCGGATCTAGCACAAAAGCAGCTGACTGCAGAAGGGCCCCTCGCGCACGAAAGGAAAGAAAATTAAGCAGCACGGCGCAGGGCCGAGGGCTGAATGTGATATCCCCGAGATCCACAAGAACCAAATCAGAAGTGGAAGTATTGGCACTGGCGGGACTGTTCGAGGCCGACGGCAGAAAGTCGGGCGCAAGCGATATTTCAAAACTGTGACCCTGAATTGCAAGGCAGCAATCTGATCCTGCAAGTCCTCTCGCAGCAAGCGGAGGTCCTCTGACAGCACGGCGCTGGGACCCACAGAGGTGGTGTCACTCATGAGGCACAAGGCCGAGGTCCCTAAGAGACTACTAGAAGTGTGGAATGACGATGTGAGTATGCAACACGAACACAAAAATTTCTGCCCATGCCCATGTTGCATGCTGTTTTCACGTGCTCCCTTGAGCATGTCCTCGCGGCGGCGTACACCAGCATTCACAAGTTCAGGCTGCACGCAAGAAGTGTTCAAGGTTGCTCGCAACATAAAATCACTTTGCAAATTTTCTTTCCAACTCAATCGGAAGAAGTAAAACTAACCTAGTTTTACAAAACAACATCGTAAATTAAAGCGCTATCAACCCGTTGACCGCTAGCTTCTCGACTTTTCACCCTGTCAGCTTGTAGTCTCTGCCAGAAAGCCCGCCAAGAACTTTTGAGCTTGTCGACTTTTCAGCCTGTCAGCTTGCAGTCTCTGCCAGAAAGCCCATAATCGCAGTTCAGACTTCTGCAGTCCGCCGGCCATCGCCTCAGTCAATTCGATCAACCCGAGGACAGATAGACTTCATGGGATTTCAAGGTAGCATACAAGTATCAATGGAGGTTTCAACCTTTGTGTGTTTGGGCCTTAGGGCTGCGAGTGTTTTGAGGCTTGGGGTGTTTCACGATCAAACCGGGTTTCAACACCTTGACGCTTCGACTCTCCTAGAAGTCAGGGTTTTGGGCCTGTGGTGCTTCAAGTCTCCTAGGGGTCCTTCAGAACTTTTGAGCTTCCTTTCCTCGAGCCTTTTGGTGGGTTTTGGGCTTGAGCTTAATTTAGGGTTCAACCCGAGTTTTGAGGCCCCGCTGTTGTGTTGCAAGCCGGAGTCATAGTATTGGATAAATCTTCGTGTATGGATCAAGCATGATGCTAGGGTTCAGGCAAGCCCCAGGTCAGCGATGAGGGTGCGATGAGCCCTGTCGGGGCAATTTTGGGGCCCCGGTCAACTTATCCTAAAAGCTTGAAAGAGCCCAAACCGGCCGGAATCAGCCCGAATCAACCCGAATCAGCCCGAATCTGCCCGAAATCGCCCGTTATGTCTCAAGCTCTTTTGTGTGGGCCCACCATTTGGGCACCCTTTTTCTCCGAAGACTTCTCTTCTGCTGCTGAGCAGCAGAAGATGGGGCCGGTGCCAGAGGCTGGCCTGGGTTTAGGTTGCATTTTTCCGTCGCTGGTTTGGGTCAGCAGTTTTAGGGTTTAGCACTTGTAGCGATAGGGTGTAAGGTTAATTAATACAACTAATAGGTTTAAAGGTTTTCAAGATGTTTTACGCAAGTCGGGGTTTGGGTTTCATTTTTTCTTTGTGGCTTCGATTGGCGATTTTAGGGTTTAGCACTTGCAACAATAGGGTTTAAGGTTACTTACGGGGTTAGGTTTGCAGAGGTTTTCAACACTTTTTACACAAGTCGGGGTTTAGGTTTCATTGTATTGTTTTCGGCTTCGCTTCGCGATTTTAGGGTTTAGCACTTGCCCGAATGGTGTTGCAAAAGTTTAAAGGCTTCAGGTTTAGGGTTCGGTGCCAGGATGTAGTGGCTTGAGGGTTGATGCTTGCGATTTGAAAGGAGTCCGTTGCCGCAAACACACACACACACACACGCACACACACACACACACACACACACACACACAGACACACACACACACACACACGAGACACACTCACGCAGATAATTGCCGCAAACCAGCATTCGGAACCTAGAGCAGGAGTTCCCAAAAGTTAAAGCAACCTAATATTTTAAAACCCAAACTTTTAAAGCTCGAATCCTGAAGCAATCAACCCTCGCAGGATGGTGCCGATGCCAAGAAGATCGACGTGATTGAGTCAGCCGGCATGAAGGCCGGTCAAAAGCCAGCTAATCCTGAAGACCTATGTAACCCCTAAGCCTTTCAACCCTTGCAGGATGATGGCGATTCGGACCAGAAGAAGGGAATCGCCGGGGCATCCAACCAGGCTCGGGCTGGGGCATCCAAGCAGGCTGTACTTCCGAAAACCCAAACCCTTAAGACCTCATATTCCTTAAGACCCCCACACCCTTAAAACCTCAAGCCCTTAAGACCTTAGTCCTTAAGCCCTTGAACCTTCCAGGATGGTGGTTCCAATCAGAAGAACGACACGGCTGGGGCTATGGCATCCACGCAGGCCATACTTTCAAAAGCCCAAACCCGGAAGACCTCATAACCCTTAAGACCCCGACCCCTTTCAGGATGGTGGTTCCAATCAGAAGAACGACACGGCTGGGGCTATGGCATCCACGCAGGCCATACTTTCAAAAGCTTAAGCCCTTAAGACATTTATAACCCTTAAGACCCCGACCCCTTTCAGAATGGTGGTTCCGATCAGAAGAACGACACGGCTGGGGCTATGGCATCCACGCAGGCCATACTTTCAAAAGCCCTAGCCCTTAAGACATTTATAACCCTTAAGACCCCGATCCCTTTCAGGATGGTGGTTCCAAGCAGAAGAACGACACGGCTGGGGCTGGTGCATCCACGCAGGCCATACTTTCAAAAGCCCTTTGCCTTAAGACCTTCATAACCCTTTTGATTTCATATTCCTTAAGACCCCCAAACCCTTGAAAGCCCAAACCCCTAAGGCCCCATAATCCTTAAGACCACGAAGCCCTTAAAACCCCAAGCCCTTAAGACCTCATAATCCTTAAGCGCTTGAACCTTCCAGGATGGTGGTTCCGAGCAGAAGGACGACACGGCTGGGGCTATGGCATCCACGCAGGCCATACTTTCAAAAGCTTAAGCCCTTAAGACATTCATAACCCTTAAGACCCCGATCCCTTTCAGGACCCTAAACCCTAAGTACACTTATAGCCCCAAACAATCCAGCACGTTTCAGACGAGGCCCCGATCGCCACGGAGCAGAAGGCCCAGCAGAAGCCGCCTGGAAAGCCCAAGGATCGGAGCTACGTGTTGTTTTTGCTTCCCGGGCTAGCATGTCACAAACCTTAAAAAGCCCTGTGGTCTCCTGAGACAGGAGGACTTGACACCGAGCTTCGATAGGGCAGTCAAGATGTATGCTGCCGAACACAACATGGCCATCGACCAGGTCACACTACAGATGGTGAAATCCTCCGAGTTGGGGCTGCGTCATTATGCCTGCACTGGCCTGGACACCTCCGCGAGGGGGGCAGCAAGCCAGGCATTGCACCGGGCCTTGGACAAGGAGCCTCATGTCAAGCACGACGTGTACAAGTGGTTGTCGGAGGACCTCAAGAAGAAGTTCAGGACCTCGTGGGCGATCGAGAGATCCTTCGAGAAGGTCGTCCGGCAGCGGACGAGAGTTCTGAGGAATCTCGGATGTTTTGTTCAGTGTTTGCACACAGTACAGAAATCATTTTCCTGCATTGTTTGGATCTCCCGTTTTTGCTTGTTATGAGGAAGATAAACTATAGTGATTCTGAAGCCAACTTAGGAACGTTAACCGTTAACCGTCAGCAAGAGCTGGGCAGCTGGAAATCGGAGCTTCAGTTGAGAGTCCACTTCGGAGGGGCTCACGAGCCAGAGGCGAAGCGACAGACCGACAACTACGTGGCGATGTGCCGTCAGTTTGGGGTGCCTTGGACACAAGAGGATTTTTGGTTTGGTGAGTTTCAAGCTTCTTCGTTTTGGTGTTTTTCCTTTTTGTGGGCCCTTTGGTCAGGAGATCTTCTGCGAGTTTAACAAATGGACGCGGGCAGAAAACTTCCTGCTCGTAGAGCGGCTGTCGAGCTCGACGCAGGAGGAAGAGTGGGAGGAGGTAGCGAGCCAGATGGACAGCTCGCCAACTTACGAGACGGAGGCATATCAGTCGCGAGCACGCAGGAAGTATGCTGCAGCGAAGGGTGTGCCGTTCGAGACCGTCATGCTGAAGCAGGTGGAGGACTTGGAGGGTTGGGTGATTTTTCTTCTGGTTATTTTAGGGATTTTGTCTTTTGTACCATAACCCCAATTTGGGTCCCTCTTAGGGCACTTATAAATCTACTTACTAACTACTTACTAAGTCCCCCGCCTAAACCACTAAACCCCAAACCCTCAACCCCTAGACCATAAACCCTAAACCCCCAAACCATTAAACTCATTAAACCCCTAAACCCTACACCCCTAAACCCCTAACCCCCCCAAGGAGAGCGACCTCGGCTTGAAGGGCTACGCCGAGATGATCATCACGGTGCCGGGCATCGAAGTGGTCGAGGACGACAAGGATGCAAAGGCCACCAACCGCAAGCCGCACAAGCGAAAGGCCCCCAAGGACTTCGAGGAGGCTCCGGACGAGGATGCCAAGACGACCGAGAAGGACAAGAAGGGCAAGACCGAGAAGGACAATAATAAGAAGGAACCCGGCAAACCCAAGGCGAAGGCCAAGGCAAAGCAGGAGGGCTCGGTCAAGGAGGCAGAAACCGCCGCCAGGACGGTGGTGCTGCAGATCCAACGCGCTTCGCAAACCGTGGAGAGGTTGCAAGCGGCCCTGCATGGCGAGCAGTGGGCAGCCCCGCTGATGAAGGAGTTTGACTCCCTGCAGGCGGCCTTGAAGATGCAGGTCACGCCCACGGACGGGGACGACCTCGGCGAGTTCGTGAGCGAGCTGAAGCTTGCTGTGTTTTCGGGGACCGGTGCCAGCAGCACCAAGACCTTGAAGAAGGACTACAAGGATCGCTACCTCCCGCTGCTCACCATGTTCAAAGATCGATGCCAAGGTGCTGCCCAGCAGTGACTTGGCTAGATTCATGTTTGCTTTTGTGATTGAACGTTTGTGCATGGTGACCATTGTTTCGTGTTTTCGCTATCAGCCCAGGATGCTGGACCTCGCCAACAAGATGGACAACATGTTCAAAGCCGTTTCGATGGAGGCCGACGCCAACCCCAAGGGTGCCAGGAAGTCGGCTCTGAAGAAGAGGACCCGGAGCGAAAGGGACGTAGGCGGCTCCTTTTCGTCTGTCTGAGAGTTTTTGCTGGCAGGTAGGATCCACATGCAGTGCCATCGATTTGGTACTGATATATGTGGTGATGTGCGCACAGGATCCTTACCTGGATCGGATGTAGCAGAATTGTGTCACTATGTGACACGAGCTGGAGGTACTGGTGTGGCTACTTGGGCCCTGAATCCCGAGCAAGCCACTCGTCACGGGTTTGAGCATATCAAATTACATGCTGGAAAAGAATATCCTGAACCGGATCTTGACTACGTGACTGTGCCTTTGTTCGAGAAACGGCAGTCTCGACGAGTGGCAGAAAAAGTGCCCATCATGCTTCCTTCGACACTCTTTAGAAAGTTCGCGGAGGTGCCCTCGGTACAAAGCAAGGACGAAATCAACTTCCGAAAGATGCTTCAGAATTTGCCCTGCTACGACAATCACCCTGTTGTTGAAAGGGCCCGAGCTGCTGGAAACACGGAACTTGTCCGGCCCATCGCTCTTTACTGGGATGGGGTCCGCTACTCAGTGCACGATTCTTTCACTGGCTTCTACGTGACTGATATCTTATCCGAGCAGAAGTTCGTTTCCTTTCTGCTTCGCCCCTCCGCTAAACAAGCACATCCATTGTTTGGTTCTTTGATGGTTGAGTCGCATATGAAATCCTTGTAGATTGTCAACCTTACCATGGACGGTTTGGGCTTACCTTACATATGGGTGATTCTGAAAATGGGAGTATGGTCCCCCTGGGGCGCGCCCTACGCGCTTCGCGCGCTTCGCGCGTTTCGCGCGCCTTCGCGCGCTTCGCGTGGCTTCGCGCGCTTCGCGCGGCCTCGCGCGCTTCGCGCCTCCGCGCGCCTCCGCGCGCCTTCGCGCGCTTCGCGCGCTTCGCGCCTCTCGCGCGCCTCTGGCGCCTCTTCGCGCGCTTCGCGCGCTTCGCGTGGCTTCGCGCGCTTCGCCCGGCCTCGCGCGCCTCCGCGCGCCTCCGCGCGCCTTTCGCGCTTCGCGCCTCTCGCGCGCCTCTGGCGCCTCTTCGCGCGCTTCGCGTGGCTTCGCGTGGCTTCGCGCGCTTCGCGCGGCCTCGCGCGCTTCGCGCCTCCGCGCGCCTCCGCGCGCCTCCGCGCGCCTTCGCGCGCTTCGCGCGCTTCGCGCCTCTCGCGCGCCTCTGGCGCCTCTTCGCGCGCTTCGCGTGGCTTCGCGCGGCTTCGCGCGCTTCGCGCCGCTTCGCGCCTCTCGCGCGCCTCTGGCGCCCCTCCGCGCCCGCTTCGCGCCTCTCGCGCGCCTCTGATGGCACCCCTCCGCGCGCCTTCGCGCGCTTCGCGCGGCTTCACGCGCTTCGCGCGCTTCGCGCCGCTTCGCGCATCTCGCGCGCCTTTGGCGCCCCTCCGCGCCGGCTTTGCGCCTCTCGCGCGCCTCTGATGGCACCCCTCCGCGCCCGCTTTGCGCCTCTCGCGCGCCTCTGATGGCACCCCTCCGCGCGCCTTCGCGCGCTTCGCGCGGCTTCGCGCGCTTCGCGCGCTCCGCGCGCCTCCCCGCGCCTCCGCGCACCTTCGCGGGCTTCGCGCGCTTCGCGCGCTTCGTGCCGCTCCGCGCGCCTCCGCGCTCCTTCGCGCGCTTTGCGCCGCTTCGCGCCTCTCGCGCGCCTCCGCGCACCTTCGCGCGCTTCGCGCGTTTCGCGCGCTTCGCGCTGCTTCGCGCGCTTCGCGCCGCTTCGCGCATCTCACGCGCCTCTCGCGCGCCTCCGCGCGGCTTCGCGCCGCTTCGCGCCTTTCGGTTGGCTTCGCGCGGCTCTTCACGCGGCTTTTTGCGCGCTTCGCGCCCTTCGCACGCCCCGCGCTTCGCGCGCTTCACACGCGCCCTTCGCGCGGGTTTCGCGCGGGACTTTGTGCGTGCATATATATATATATATATATATATGAGCCCACGTGCATGCATCCATGTGCGAAAAATGTTGTGTCAACGAACGTATTCTTCATGTGAAGCTGTTTACCGAGGCTGGCCGGCTTGCAAGCACACGTTGGTCTGTAGTCGACTCGAAGTAGTTCCGAAATCCATATGGCGCCGTTGACCTCTAAAAAAATTTTGAACAACCTGAGAACCCCAGGAGGATCATGGGACTTATAAAGTATAAGGTTATAAGTACCTTAATTGGGGTTATAAGTAATTATAATTATCGTTACCTTAACCCAGCCTTGAGTGCTTGGCACCAGCTGCCCAAGCTGGCGAGCACCTCCTCCGACGCCGGGCAAGTTCCTCTGAGCTGAAGCGTGGAAAAGAAGAGCAAGAGCGCTTCATGCACCACGTAGGCCATGCGCTGCCCTTTCTTAGCAGTAGAATCAGCTGCAGTTAGTTGGGCAGGTCTGCGCGATTGCAATGCCCAACCCGAGATGGACGAAGCAAATGGTAAATGTGGTAAGGTTACAATCGCTGCTGCTGATGTGTTTTCGACTGCGATTAGACCGTCATCGTTTCATGTTGACGCTTCTGCCTTCACAGTAAGCCAACCCCGACTCCACATGACACCTCCTCCAGCAGGAACCCATGAACCAAGACCCCAAAACCCTCTGAACAAGGAGCCAAGATCAAACATCCCCGTCACTGTCTTCCACGATGATCCGGAGAAATGACGTAATTATGCCAAGGACATGACACCTCCTCCAGCAGGAACCCATGAACCAAGACCCTGAACCCTGCAAAGAGTCCTGATGGGCGGCCTCTGTCGAGACCTCCATCGCCGCGACCTTTCGCAGTAGAACAGGGGGGCAAGATCAAACATCGGCGTTAATTACTGTCTTCCACGAAGACCCGACGCTGGGCAAGTTCCTCTGAGCTGGAGCGCGGAAAAGAAGAGCCGGAGCGCTTCATGCACGACGTAAGCCATGTGCTGCGCTTGGATGGGGTGCTCTTAGCAGTAGAATCAACTGCAGTGAGTTGGGCAGATCTGCGTGATTGCAACATGAGAAGTCACCGCTGTATGGCTGCCCAACCCGGGATGGACGAAGCAAATGGTAAATGTGGTAAGGTTACAAGCGCTGCTGCTGATGTGTTTTCGAGTGCGATTAGACCGTCATCGTTTCATGTTGACGCTTCTGCCTTCACAGTAAGCCAACCCCGACTCCACATGACACCTCCTCCAGCAGGAACCCATGAACCAAAACCCCAAAACCCTCTGAACAAGGAGCCAAGATCAAACATCCCCGTCACTGTCTTCCGGGATGATGCTGAGAAACGACAGAATTATGCCAAGGACATGACACCTCCTCCAACAGGAACCCATGAACCAAGACCCCTAAACCCTGCAAAGAGTCCTGATAGGCGGCCTCTGCAGAGACCTCCCTCGCCGCGGCCTTTCACAGTACTGTTGTCCTGACTCCAACGTAAGCTAACAGGTAATTAACGTGCAGACCCGATGCAAACGAGGTCGACCCCCACCGCCTCGGAAGTGGCTTCTTCGCAACTGCCTTCGCAGCCTCCAGCAGGCTTTCCTTCTTGACTTCGCGCAGAGCGCGCGTTTTGCTGCACAGCATGCATTTCGCGGCTCGCTTCACCATGACGAAGGCTGGCAGACCTACAACTAGGAGAATGCTTGTGCTTTGGCTGGCTGTAGCTTGGAGCTTTGTCTCTGCGTGTATGCTGATTCGTGTCGTGCGAGGTCCTGCTTGTGGCACAGATGGCACAGCATTTCCTCATCTGTGTTATACATTGATCTGCTAGTATGGTCAACATGAACTGAGCCCGTTGACTACGTAGCTGCCCCTGCTGTGATAAAACGGCAGGCACGAGTTCGGCGATAGCGTCGACTCGACGGCGCAGCTCCGGCGGCAAGGTGACATGCGCTGCGTCCCGGCCCGACGCATGTCTGTGGTATGTAGACATGCCAGGTGAGTGATTACAGGCCCTACTACTACTACTACTACTACTACTACTACTACTACTACTACTACTACTACTACTACTACTACTACTACTACTACTACTACTACTACTACTACTACTACTACTACTACTAATTACTACTACTACTACTACTATTTTCAATTGAACGCCGTGCGACCGGGCTCAGCACATTGCGGGCGATTGCCGCGGTGCACGCACTTGGTGTGAAACTGACTCGATTGACCCTATGACTGATATGCTCGAAGAGGCGAGCACCAGCTCCCTTGATGTCGTGCTACTTACCACTACTGCTACTGCTGCTACTACTACACAACTACTGCTACTACTACTTGCGTGGGGATTTGATCTTGATGATGTTCCTTGTCGCTCACCCCACCGAGCTATGTTGGGTAATGATGTGGTTGCCCTCTACAGACTCGATCACTTTCTCTCTCTCCCACGTGTCAGCTTCACTCCCTGTGCAGACAGATCCAGAGCTCGCTTGTTTTGTTTTGCACCTTCGCGGCCAGCGATGGATCGTCGTTTTATTAAACGGATGAGGGGATTTCATATACATACATAATAAATACATACATATGTAAATCACCACAGACACACATGCACATACACATGCGGCTTCGCGCGAAGCGAAGCGCATGCAGGCTGCTGGCGTGGCTTCGCACGTGCTTTGCGCGGCTCGCGCCGGCTTCGCGCGGCTTCACGAGAGCTGCTTCGCGTGACTTGGCGCATGCTTCGCGCGCATCTGGGTATGTTTCGTGCGGCTTCGCGCACCAGACGCCGGCTTTGCGCACCTGCGTGCGCGCACCTTCGCGCGGCTTCACGCAGCTTCGTGCGCGGGCTGCTTCGCGTGGCTTCGTGCGTGCACCTGCGCGCACTCTGCGTGCGCACACCTGCGCGCGCGGCT